GTTACTCTCATTGAGTAACGTAACGGAATACGTTACAAATACATTTTGGAGCATGTAATCTGTAATCTGTAATCTGTAGTGGACATTTTAAAAGTAACCTTCCCAACACTGATTACTACAGACCAGCAGACTCAGTCTGTGATCATTTCAAACTTCAAGCAATTAAAAGCGTCACAGTCCAGATGTTCTCCAGCTGCAGAGTAGTGCTGCATGTAGAACATCTGCAGCTGCAGATGTTCTACATGCAGCACTACTCTGCAGCTGGAGAACATCTGGTTCAAGTGACAGCAGCACATCGTGCCAACACACACACACACACGCCAAAATATTAAAAATCACAAATGCTTCATCTCTCTCTCTGTTGCTCTTTAACTCAGTGTAAACCCTCCCACCGCACACACACACACACACACACACTTGTCTTCGTATCTTATTGAGGAGATCTAATTGACCTAATGGTTCCCCTAGCTGTGTACCCTGACCATAACCTAACTGTAACTCTGTCACTAAAACCACATTCTGAGTCTCAAACATGCCTAACCTGACGGGCACTTTGTCCCCACAAAGATATGTAAACATGGTACACACACACACAGACAGACACACACAGACAAGCGCACACAGGAGTCTGATGAAAATGGGTGAAATTCGTTTAACAAGTGTCTACTCGTTAATCAATTAAGTGTTAATTACGGAGCAGGAGGCGTCTGGGGTCCAGATAAACGTCCTGCATGGATCCACTCTGTTGACTCAAAGTGTAATGAGATTATCTTTCACCCGCCAAGGTGAACGCTGCTGCAAACAGAGAAACTTCCACCAACACGAGTGTTCACGTTTGCATTGACAACAGATTCAATGAGATTAAAGGCTTTTGAATAAATGTGGGCTCGTGCAGACGAGCCGCCCTCTGCACATGCTGACAGACTGCACACAGGTAACTGTCTGTAGTTCTGTGCATTAAGTCTCAGTGTTAACATGTCTGCCTCTGCTCCCCACCAACACTCTGCAGGCCTCCAAATCACTGCTGTAGTCTCCCACCCCACTTTATTAGGCACACCTACAGACTGTAATCTTTGATTCCTCACCGCCTCACACCGACACAGGAGGGGAAATTTTGTAAGCATCCTTTCACTTTAATCTAAATTTAAGAGTCTCAGCTTGAAACGGGACCGTCTCAGCTCCGTGATTTACCCGCCGAGAACAAAAGCTCTATCTGGCATTGTGAGCATCCTGCCCTCCCCCCGGGGAGCCGCTGTTAACTTGTAATGCATTCAGCGGCTGCTGCAGCCTCAACAATGACTTCTGTACAATAAGAAATCAATATTTCATTAAAAGCTGCAGAACCTCTGCACAGGCACTTCAAACATTTGGAACCAAGCTGTGCCTTTAATTGCAGCTCCGAGAGAGAGACGGCGTCCTAACCGCCGAGGCATCAGTCAGGCGTGACGGGGACGGTCATCGGCAGCACAGGAGCTCAAATCTACCACCAGGGGGCAGTGCTTTAACTGCTGGGATTGTTTTCAACTTCCCCAGAGGTTTCTCAGGGCGGGACGTCACTCTGAGTGCGACGGCGTTCCCAAGTGTCGCGCCCAGATTAACCCTTTAAGACCTACCATAGAACCAAGTCCGCCAGAGCTTATATTATATGTTTACATGCTGTGGAGCCATTTTTGGGAGCATTTCAA